TGAAATGGGTTTTCTTAGACGAGTCGCTGACCTTACGCATGTTGACGTGATCCACAGTACTGACATCCGCAAGAGCCTTCATGTAGAGCCTCTGATTCTCCAGATTGAGAAGTTATAGCTGCGATGGTTTGGGCATGTGTTGCGAGTTCCTCCAGAAAGGAAGACTAAGCGGCAACTGTTTCTTGTGAATCCTACCAGCAGAAGGCCCAAGGGACGGCCACGATTGTCCTGATTCAGATATGTGGAAGGAGTGTGTTCGAGACTGCAGTTGTCTTCTTCCTGAGCTCAGACTTTGGCACAGGATCAGGAACGTTGGAAGGTTTGTCGCCTGTGCCTCCGCGACCCGGAAGGAGAAGCGGCGATGGAAGATGAAGATGATTTTCTCATTAGCCTTTAAAAATATTTATTGAAGGAATAAAGTTCTCGCGTAGTTGTGTACTGATTATCAGTCTGAATCCCTCCTTTATTGAGATTTGTAAACTTAACTGAAGTAGGTACGAGATTCATGTGAACTTGCTCAATTTCCCATGCGGATAGTTCGATCGAATGAAGTCATTTGACACATGAGGGCTTCGGAGGTCTCCCTTGACGTAAATAAATGTTTTTTGGTTTATATCAGTACTGTCTGTCTTGTGCTTTTAGCTGAAACTTTTTCAGTAAAAGACTTATAGTAATATCTACCTTCTTGTCAGAGCCATGCTATTTATATCGAAGGTTTTGCTTGCCTCTTTTACATATCGACGATGAGTATCAGAACTTAACTCTTGATTTCGTACTGACCTACTTTCCTTTACCATCCGATAAACCGTCATTGTCATTTCTTAAGACATCTACAACGCGAGGATGACTATAGTCGGGAACATATGTACGATGTGCCATCTTTGAAGTCGTCTTCATTTTTGGATGACTTCGATAAATGTTAAATAGACTTTTCTTAGGTTGTACTCGTTATATCGTCAGTTTATTAATCGCAACTTTGTACAGCTTTTACATGGCTACTATAGTTATTTTGATGATTTTGCATAATATTTGCTGCATAGCTGGAACGTTGGATTAACTTTAGCTGTGCATCATTCATGAAGCTACATGTGAGATGTTATTGCCTGCATTACATATATTGGGATGTATTTTGCTACTGCTGACCGTTTTATCATTAGGAAGCGCTAATCCGATTATGCTTGCTGATAAAATATGGTTTAGCTGAGACCTCGTTCTGCTACCCTGAATTTAAGACAGAAGTATGTCGCTAACTAGGCTTGAACGGTGGACATATAACCAAACCTCATATCGCCAGTGTATATACAGGTGCTTGCGCAAGGAAATTGATAGAGAACTTTGCAGACTGGAAGAAGTCTATATTTTGTTGCACCGCTCTAAAAAATAATGGTAGAGCCATGGGCTTTTTTACGCAGTGCATTTTTGAAATGTTAATAAAACTCTCACAAGTTAGGCCATTAAACTGCCATGGTCTGAATGTCTGAAACTGGAACACATTACCTCTCTTTCCAAACATCGTTTTGGA